TGGACGTTGGACCTACAAAATGCAATCATTAATGGCGTTTCCTCAGCAGATATGTCCATCCATGAACTACTTGTTCCTGAAAATTGCAAGTGGCAATAAATCTCCATACCAAATGTTGTAAAGATCAACAGTCACAACAGTCATCTCTTAACACGTCTTTGATATTGCATTCAATTACTAGAGGCCATTATCTTTCCCCGCCCAATGAGACTCTTCACAACTTCCTTTCTTGGGCTTTGAAATTTCAATGTGCCCAAAAGAATATAAGAAGCACTATGAGAAAAGACTTTAGAAGATTCAAGTCATCCTTCATTTAGTGCATGTGCCTCTAGAAATATGCTTCATGGTTTTTTCTTAATCTTAATTCAGTTCTATATGTGATTCCGCCCTTATTTATATGGAGCTTAGAGAAGAAAGCGTATAATTAATTCAAATTTATATGTGATTCCATCCTTGTTTATCAGGTTGCTATGATTAGATAATATGAACATGTTTAAGGGCTTTGGTTTTGATAGTTAAATAAATAATAAGGAGGCGTTTGGTATCCTATTCAAATATATATGGAACTCAAAAATTTTGATTTTTTTTTAAAACAAGGAGTTCTTAACTCTATTTTTAAGATTCAAAAACTTTTTTGGTATGTAACTTGAAAACTGTTTTCAAATCTTAAAAATTTGAGAACTTGTGGGTTGTTAAAAAAGAAAGAAAGATATTTTTTGTTTTTAATAATTGAGGTGTTTTTTAGTTGTTTTTGAGTTTGAGTTTTTAAAAATAAGGCTACCAAACAGGTTTTCTTTGTTTTAGACTCAAATTCTGTTTTTGAGTTTAAAAAGTTGAATACCAAACAGGCCCAATCTCCCCTATCGATATTCAATCACCACGGGTGTGGCTCTTAAGAGTAATTAAGAAACTATATTAAATAGTCACATATAACATTATGTTACTATGTCACCTTCAAGTATCACATCTACAATTTGTTTTCTGCAAATCAAGTATCACACCTTCAAGTACTATGTGTTGCATATTATATTATTATTCCCATAGCAAAGGAGATATATTTTCTGCCCAGTTAAAACTTTATAATAGTAGATGTACCAAAAAAAATAAAGATTAATACTATAACAGTACAAAGAGCACGTGAGAGTTTTTGGCTCTTACAGTGCACCCAAACAGTTCCCATACATTTCCTGTCTCGCCCACATGAAGCAAGCCCTACAAAGCTGTTCCCATTGGCCCTTCCATTTCATAATTGATTTTCGTACATCATGAAGCTCAAGTTTGAAAAAACCACCACTTGCCAAATTTGTAGTCAAACATCAATTTGATTTAAATCAATTTATTTATAAAGAAAACATAGTACACGTACCATGTTAATTAGCTATTTAGATGATTAATTAATTAATTAATCAGCTAGTGAGAGACAATTAAGGAAAAGCATCATCTTCATGATGGAAGCAAAATAATTGGTGAAAGCAACCTCTCTTAAGTGTATGATATATAGCCAAGGACTAAAATATCAATAATATCGAGGATATTATTGTTTTTTCAGTTCTCTGATATTTTGTAATATATCCATACATATATTATATAAGTATCGATAATATCAGAAAATATCAACATCGATAATTTCGCTCACAATTTAGCAATATTTGGCCAAAATAATATCGAGATGATGAAGACAGTGCTATGGAAAAGATTCTTGTGTTTTCACAAAACCTCATCGGGTCTAAAAAATTACACGAACACCCCCCCTGAGGTTTCAGTTTGTTTTCACAAAACCCCTTTTCGTTAATTGTTTGTCCAAAAATTGATAATTTCATTTAAACAAAACTTATGCAAATGACAAAATTAACCTCAGTGAAGTATATGCAATCTAATCTTAAAGGCCAATTTTGTAATTTGGAGAAATTTTGTGTATGTATAAAATCATCAATCTTTGGATGAAAAATCAATAAAAAGGAGTTTTGCAAAAATAATTTAAAACCTCAGGAGGTGTTCTTGAAATTTCTTCAACTTCAAGGAGTTTTATGAAAAAACCGAAAACCTCAGGGGGTTGTTAGTGTAAATAACTCAAATTTGAACCTTATAAAAACTCTATGTGGTACTAAGTCACTCATGTATCTTACCATGCAATGTATAAATTGTAAAATATTGTAATAAATCATTATAAATAAATGATTATGGTGTGTTTAATCTTTTTTCATTAATTACTACATATTTTTTACACTCGCAGAATCGCAATGTTTGTTAGCTCGCTATATAATAAACTTAAATCAATTAAACCAATCAGGCAATACATTTCCTTATAATTTTTTTGTGATAAAGTAATAGATAATTGACTCAATAAATATCCTCTAAAGTTTCACGAAATTTTTTCAAGTTTTTTTGACAACTTCCGTGGTTTTTATTCAATTTTTATCGATATCAATAATTTCTCGATATTTCCATCAAAATTTTCATATTTTTGGATTACCAATATTTCCGAAACCATCAATATTTTAAAACTTGTATATAACTAAATATATAATCAAGCACTCTTGCCCTGAAGAATTCGGGACCAAACACTGCATTTTGCATCCAAACAAACAACTTCTCTTAATATGGATTCAACTTTTAAGTAATGTTTCAATCATCAACTAAGTTGTTGTTTGAATGTGTAATTTATATTGATTATCCAACAACATAACATATCAAATATTTAACAAAATAATATTATTTCTTAAATAAAAAAGACTATTAAAAATAAGATTCATTAAGATTACACGTATCCCACTTGTAATTCTATTTTTTCTGTTGTGGCCAAAACTAGCCGTACTACATTAATAAAATCGATGGAGTGGTCATTATGGAAAAGTAGGTAAAATTACTTGCAAGCTGAACTTCCAAAAGTATGGACATCAACATGTGAGTGTGACTGGTAGGCAAAAGTACTTGCATACACCATGCAACAAACAACTTTCTTCAAAATTAATTTACCAAAAGAAAAAAATAAATTGACCAAAAACAAAAGAAAAAAAATAAACTTTCCTTAAACTCGGGACATAATACTTTTGAGCATATGTCAAAGTCTTACAATTAAAAATCTTAATATGGGTTGTTAGTAATTATTTGGTCCAGCATTTAATTTTGAGTTTATTGCATAAAATTGCGGATTGAAATTTTCTAAACGAAAGTTTGTTATATTGTTGAATGAGAAAGAAAAAGAAGAAGAGATGTACCCATTTTTAACACTAATAATATAGATAAATCATACACCATTTAATTTCTATAAACAAACCCAAAAGATGATATCTGACCTTATTGAATTGAATTTTAATTATTAAATTATTTTGATGCCCTATTGAGTGTTTTGAGTTTTTTTATGAGATTTTGGGGCTAGGTTTGTTTTAAGAAATCAATCGCAGTTTTGTAATTTAAAAGAAGTTAAAAGCCTTTTTGTTACGTTGTAAATGAGTTTTGGGTGTGTTTCTAAAGTTTATTTCATATATGTTTTTTTATATATAATTTGGGCTCCTATATTGGATATAATAATGAATCTCCAAAAATAATAATAATAATGATGTCAATGCCTGAGTTAAGAGAAGAACAGAACAAATGATTACAATGTATTTTTAATTTTAAACATAAAGTTATTTTCACAATTTTTTATAATGTTATTAATTTTTTTTTGTAATACAGGCGATACTAATTTATTAATTTATTATGAAATTATAAATATGATTGAATAGCATGGCAAAAAGAAAAAAAAAAGAATTAAAAAAACATGATACTGGAGGATCATACATGGAAAAATCCAAAACTAATTTGGTGAGCTCATCTAATCACACAGAGGCCTGCATATGGAGATAAGCAGATTTGCAGAGGATTGAGGTCCTGTTGGCTTCGTGATGACACCTAAGCCGTGGCCAGTGACCACCACCAGCTTTGCCCCAAAATCTCGTTTCGCTTTACCCATACCAAATACTTTTTCTTTTTTTCCTCTCATGCCTCTTCTCACTAACAAATGCCATTCTCCTTTAACTCATTCACACAAATGCCACTCCCATCTTTTCTACTCTCTCTCTCTCTCTCTCTCTCTCTCTCTCTCTCTCTCTCTCTCTTATATTTAAAGGTTTGCTTTGACCCTCCAATGCACGTTTAGAATCCGAAGGCTTTTTCCTCCTCCATTTAATTATACAATGATGACTATTGTTTCTGTGTTGTGTGAGCAATCTAGACAATTTTAGGCAAATGCTTCCCATAATATGCTTTATAATTTGATAACACCCCTCTCTTCTATTGATAAAAATAAGTGAAAACCCTAAATCCATACTAACTTAAAGAAAACTATTTAGGTATAGTGTATGAACAAAACCAACCATGCAATTAAGTCTAAAAAGAAATTCAAAGTCAAGTTTAACTGATTTATAGATTTGATAGACGATACTAAATATTGTCAAATGACAGATATGACATTATCATTTATAACATTCATTTTAGTGATGATAACTAACAATCAAATAAAAGGACATGCGCCATGCATTACAGCTTTTTTAATTCCCTTAGACATAAATCAAGAAATTAAAATGATCAAAATCAATCTTATTCACTTAACAAGTTAATAATATTAGATATACGATAAGTTTATAAAGTGTTATGTACCAAATGATCTGACAATTAATTTGTAACAGTCAGTAAATGTCGTGGATAAAAACTAACAATACCATGGCCTGGCCAAACTTGTCAACTTGGCAAATTTCAACTTTTGTTAGGTTCTTCTGGTAATAGTCCCTATTGACCTTGACCATGGACTGAACCCTATGGACTATCTCTCAGAACACGGACAAAGAAGCGGTCAAAGCAGCAACTACCTCTAATAACTATCCTACAGTGTCAAAATCGTAATTAATCACCAAAACCCAGGGCATTGCAGAATGGACATTTTCGGGACAATTAGATTATGGTATATAAGGGCCCCACCTTTGTCCATTTCATCTGCACACTGTTTTTAATCTTTTCCTTCTCTGTCCTGTGGTAGCTTCCATCACTCTCTCACTCAGAGATTGCACCGAGGAAGACACACACTACGGCACTCACTCTCTTAGATCTGAAACCCACAAACCCCAAAAACCCTGAGCTCCGAGGACGATCTGGTGAGCATTTTCTCTGCTACACTCTCTGCTTTTCTGTTTCTTTCATTTTGTATGGATATGGGGGTTGTTTTAGTTCTTGAGGGATCTGAGTGTTCTGAAATTTTTTGTTCATGATTAAATGTGGGGGTTTCTGGGTTATGGGTTGTGGTTGGATAATGCAAATGAGGGTTCTTTCTTGGTGGGTTTTGTGTTGAGCGTGCTCCACTGTGAAGTGAATTTTGTTATTGGGGTTTATAGTTGTGTTTGGGCTTGAGATTTTTTCTTTGATGATTGGTTCTTGGTTATGGATTTGGAATGTTGGATTTAGTGCTTTCATTTGGTTAATTAAGTGGGGATTAGTATAATGTACTACTATGATTAGTGCTTTGTTTTTGGTGATGGGAAGATGAGAGGTTGATTCTTGTGTTCTATGTCTAGATTTTTAAGATCAGAATCTTTATTTTTCTTTTTTGACACTCCAAGTTGAAAGAAAGAAAACTAAAAAAAAAATTTGGGTTGCTTTAACTTGGTACTTCGATTGTAAGTTTTGTTTACTGGGTAACACGATCTGATTTGCGTGATCTGTGTTTAGAACTTCATTTTTATTTTATCAAAATTTATTTCCGGGTTGAAGGTATTAATAGTTGACGGCCGTGATTTCCAGAACCCAGAAGATATAGAGAGGGCATCTCTGTGTTATGTTTATAGATACCATATAAAAATCACTCTGCTTTTGGCATTTGAGTTGTTTTATCTTATTTTATGGAATTTAAATTTCTAATGCTCAGCTGATGGTTGACTTGTGGTCTTTTATTATGCTTGATCCTTTTTACTGATTACTTACCGTCTTATATGACTGATGCTGACGGGTGTTTATACACTATTTATGAAAATGTATTACGTGTCTTCTGAACATTTTCGATGATGCAGTCTAGGTGGTGATTTAACAAAAATGGCTGTCGCGGATGCTGAAAACCCTCGTCTTGGAGAAATAACTTGTGGTTCTTTACTGCAGAAACTACAGGTGACTTATATATTTACCTTTGATTGTCTGTCTTTTTCTTCCTCACAGCTTCTTTTTATGTAATGTGAAGATTGGATGTTGAACTAATGCATGATTTATTGCAGGAAATTTGGAATGAAGTTGGCGAGAGTGATGAAGAACGAGACAAAATGCTTCTTCAATTAGAGCAAGAGTGTCTAGATGTATACAAGAGGAAGGTCGAGCTGGCAGCAATGTCAAGGGCACAGCTTCTTCAGGCATTGTCTGATGCCAAACTTGAACTTTCCAGTCTTGTATCAGCTCTTGGAGAAAAAAGTTTTGTTGGAGTTGTGAGTAATTACAAATTTTTTCTTCATCTTATTAAAAAAGAAATTACATATTTTTTCTTCATATGAACTGATGATCTTTTATTGCTACATTAAAGCATGTTAATAGTCTATTATTTTGTCTTCTAAGTAATAATGAATTGTTAATTTGTTTACAGCCCGAGAAGACTTCAGGAACAATCAAGGAACAGCTTGCGGCTATAGCGCCAGTACTGGAGCAGCTGTGGAAACAGAAAGAGGACAGGGTGAAGGAGTTTTCTGATGTACAGTCACAGATACAAAAGATTTGTGGAGAAATTGCTGGGAACTTGAATCTCAGTGAGAGTCCTGCTGTTGATGAGTCTGATCTATCCCTGAAGAAATTAGATGAATATCAATCCCAACTTCATGATCTTCAAAAGGAAAAGGTAAATATATCTTATCCTCATGAACATGGCAAAATGCTTAATCTGCAATAAGTTCATAGTGTTAATTTCTCATTTGATCTGACAGAGTGAAAGATTGCACAAGGTGCTTGAATTTGTGAGCACAGTGCATGACCTTTGTGCTGTACTTGGGCTGGACTTCTTGAGTACTGTTACAGAGGTCCATCCTAGCTTAAATGACTCAACTGGTGTGCAATCTAAAAGCATTAGCAATGATACTTTATCTAGGCTGGCTAAGACTGTCTTAGCACTAAAAGAAGATAAGAAGCAGAGGCTGCATAAGGTATTTCTTTTTTACTTTTTCATTTTCATTATTTGTGTTTGTAGAAAAATAATAATTTATATTTCGGATTAAATTTGACATTTATCTTCACTTTAAAGCTCCAAGAGTCAGCAACACAGCTACTTGATCTGTGGAATCTGATGGATACCCCTGATGAGGAAAGGGGATTCTATGACCATGTTACCTGTAACATATCAGCTTCAGTGGATGAAGTGACTGTTCCTGGGGCTCTTGCCTGGGATCTGATTGAGCAGGTATTTATGCATATGATGTTCAGTGGTTTGTTAAAACAATTTATGATGGCTGTTTACTCATTTCTCGATTTTGTTTTGAAGACTGAGGTCGAAGTTGAGCGGCTTGATCAGCTGAAATCAAGCAGGATGAAGGAAATTGCATTCAAGAAGCAATCAGAGCTTGAGGAGATTTTCACTCGAGCTCACATAGAAATAGATCCAGAAGCTGCGAGAGAAAAGATTATGGAACTGATTGATTCTGGGAATGTTGAACCTACTGAATTACTGGCTGACATGGATGATCAGATAGCGAAAGCGAGGGATGAAGCTCTAAGCAGAAAGGATATATTGGACAAAGTTGAGAAATGGATGTCAGCCTGCGAAGAAGAGAGTTGGCTTGAGGACTACAATCGCGTAATTAAACTCTCCCTGAACTATCTACCTATGCATGAATGTGAATTGCTGGCTGGACCTTATTGTGGAAAACAGAGTTTCATATGTTGCACAGTGCTCCCCATACATTACGATAGACTTTTTTTGTTGTTGAAGAAAGCACCTTCACTGTGCTCCCGTCCATTGGAGTCCAACTACCTAGACCTGCTCCATTGTTCTCTGTGAATTACTGTAGATGTTGGACATGCTAGAATTAAGTATTGTAATTCAACAGTTACTAGAATGAAGCTACTTGGTAAATAGGACCTGGGGAGTATCTATTAGAAGTCCTACCCTTCTAACCACCTGCCAAATATATATGAACATACAGGAAAATGTAACCATTTCATGGATGGGCTTAGGTGTGGAGTTGCAGTCTTGCCTTTTCAGGGTGGTTAGAGTAACCATGTAGTCCTTTAAAACTAATAACTGGCCTAGGAGTTTCTATGCATATGACGTTGCATCTGTGCAACCCACATGAATTTTGCTGATTTTTTATACTTGAATTTTCCAATTTTAGGCGTTTCATTGTAACCAACATTGTCTTGTTGAAACAGGATGAAAACAGGTATAATGCAAGTAGAGGTGCACATCTAAACCTCAAGCGTGCAGAGAAAGCACGTATTCTGGTTAACAAAATTCCAGGTAAGTGTAGAGGATAACACGGTTATGACGACTGTAGTCTTACAGTTGCAAATTTGACAGAAAGTGAGACGCATAAGTGAAGGAAGTTTTGTATGGCATGTACAGTGTAATATGTGCATGATCAAAGAAAATTAAACAATCCATGCTGTCAATTACCACTCCTTGACATGCTTACAATCCACCCATTAGTTTCCAAATTTCTTATTTTTTTTCGTTTTCTTGGCAATGCAGCTCTTGTGGACACATTAGTAGCCAAAACTCGTGGGTGGGAGGAAGATCGTGGCATATCATTTACTTATGATGGTGTTCCTCTCCTTGCTATGCTAGATGAATATGCCATGCTTAGGCAAGACAGAGAAGAAGAGAAGCGGAGGATGAGGGTACGTTTTACCTGAATAGATAATTAAATGATTATTGATGATTATATGAGGTGATTAAATGCTCCTTGATTTTTACATGAGTTTAGTTATGTTCCCAAGTAATTATGCTTGACATGACCTAAATCTAAATCTGACGTTTTAGTAGCCTTTTTATTTTGGTTTTTACATCAGTCTGAGTTGATTGTCCTCTTGCATCAAATGGGATTATGTCCCATGGATTTTGCAGGATCAGAAGAAGTATCAAGAGCTACAACACACAGAACAAGAAACCATATTTGGCTCAAAGCCTAGCCCTGCTCGACCAGTTGGCACAAAGAAGGTAGTAGGTCCTCGTGCAAATGGAGGTCCAAATGGAACTCCTAGCAGACGGCTATCACTCAATGCTCATCAAAATGGAAGCAGGTCTGTAACAAAAGATGCGAAGAAGGATCTTAGGCCCATTGCTCCTATGAACTATGTTGAGATAGCAAAAGAGGACGCTGCGTCCCACATTTCTGGCACTGATACACTTCCGGTGTCACCATAATAGTAAGGGAGATAATTGTAGGTTACACCTCTGTCAAATTTTAGTGTTTTAACTAGTTACTGTTGTAGGGATATGATGTATGAAACAGTGAGGGTAAATTGGAGAGTGAACTGTGTGTACCTGTGCATGTGTTTTAGCATTCGGAGGCTTTCTAAATACACGTTGCGTTCTCTGTTCTTCATGTTTTGGCTGGTAGCTATTGTGTTCGAAATAAAATCCTGCCACTGCGTTCTTGCCAGTAGACTCATGAATTTCGGTTCCGTGAATGTTCTTGTTTCTTTTATTGTTTTGCTTTACGTGACTCCTAATCCATGTTAAACTCTAGAATGGATTTCCCTGTCTTGGTTGCAATAAACCTGGCCTGCACGTTCCTCGTATGTTAGTTAGGTAACTCCTAGCATTACTGAGAATTTTTCTTAGGCTGGGAAACATAAAACCATAGGAACTCGATGGTATTCAAAAAATGAGGATACTGATCCTATGTTTCGAATTTATAATTGTGGCTAGGCTACAAAGTTCTTAAGGGTAGGACACAAAATTGTATTGGAAGTTAAAAAAAAGAAGAAGAAATCAATCGATGACATATCTTTCATTTTCACCCTTAGGGAACTGGCCTCATGGATTGGATAGATGTAAACAAGGCAACAAGTTGCTTTGTCCTTACGGGTTTGCAATTATTCTTAATTTGTATCTAACAACTTTGTTTGCCAAGGATGGCTTTATGTCTACAAAATTACCCAGTAGGTAAAAACTTGTCCTGGATAATCCAATAGAGAGTTTGTACGATTGGCCTGATTTTTTTTTTTTATACTGGATTTACTGTGATCACAACATCTATTTCTACATATTTGCTATGACAAATTGGAGATGCTGATTTTGCTCTTCAGTTTTTACACCTCTAAACGATAGCTTCAAGGAGATACTTGCCTCAACCAAGAGACAAGAGGACAGTCAAAATTACTTTTAACCCTTAGTTGGGATTGGATATATGCAGATAACAATGAAGTTACCTCACTAAGAAACTCGCAATTAATATTGTTGGAGAAAACGAGGAATCAAAGCATCATATAAATATGTGCTCATTATATTTCACGCCCTCAGAGAGACCACATCAAAGCTTATGTTGTTCCATTTATGAGCACTATACTATTTTTTAACTCCTAGGAAAAATTAGAGAAATGGGTGTGAGTAATTAATTACTTTTGCTTTGGCCAAATTTCAAGCCCTCAGAGATTTGCTAAGGAAGAGTTTGATGATCAAAATGTTAGCTTCACAACCTCAGTCATGTTGTTTATGAAGCCAATATGCTTATGGGGAGAAAAGAACATGTGGAAGAAATTAGTGCAGCCCAATAAAGAGCAGCAGCAGATGAAAATGGTGAAGAAGGAGCTTACTCTAGAAGAGTGGTTCTTAGCTTCATCACCGTGCGAAAAAGACGATAACAGCCTATGTAATATCAAAGAAGGTGATTCTGAAAAGAACTGGCTTTATCCATGTTTGGGTGGAGAGGATTCAGATGATTTTACCTCCATGAATTCAAGGGACAGTTTTTCTTTGCAGAGGCTGTTGACCATTGAAATGGTTGATAGTGGAAAAAGTGATGCACATGCTCCTTGCTTGTGCAGAAGTGAAAGTACGTAGTGGGAAGGTAAAGAAAGGGGTGAGCTTTAGACTTCCAGAAGAGGCTGATATATTCATATTCTGTTCACCAGACCAAGGTGATTATAAAGAGTGATTTAAAATCTAGTAAATTATGTATGAATATGAATATATATATATATATAGGTACATACATTATACTGCTTGCTTGATTGCTCCTTGTTCTTGGGCAATTTGATAAATGCTGATTTTCATTATGAATCAATCTCTAGACACTAAGGGGATGATGGAAGAAATTTAAGAGTCGTTATCATATTTAAATGAATGTTTCAAATGCAATTGTGCAGGCTGGCTTAAATTTATAAAGTTAAGATTATGTTCCAAAAAGAGAGAGTTTATAATGGATTAATAATTTCTAATTAAAAATGTCAAATAATGAATGATATTTTTCTCAATTACCATGTTTATTAGAAAATGCTTGGAGTGCAATCTGAATTAATTTGAAGACTCAATGCTCTTAGCAGGGATAATATTGTTTGAGGAATGCTATTCACAATCGCTCAAAAGTAATTTTGCAATATTTGCTAGACACGTGGATACACAAACGCACATTACTTTCTCCTTTTTAATTTTTTAATTTTTTGTGTGTGTGTGTATCTACGTGTCTAGCAAGTATTGCGACAATCGCTTTTGAGCGATTGTGAAAAGCATTAATGTTTAGTTAACAATTAATATTAAACGATTAGTAAGGCAGCCCATTCAATAAAGAATTAATAGCTTAAAAATGAAAACTTTTGAAAAGAAAGAACACCCTTTGTTTAGTTAGCAACTGAAATAACTACCATTGCCCTCTAACAACCCAGCACCTTGTATTAAAAAGAATTAAATTGAAGATATGGGGAAGAAAGAAAAGTAATAGAGGTAACTAATCAAATGGCATTGCAAAAGCCAAAAGGGTGTTAGGTCAAATTGAAACTCCTCATTCAAACAACTATATAAATCACATGATACAGACAAAATAATAAGCTATAAAGGAAGAGAGAAGTGAAAAAGGGTTCACTATAGCTTCATTTCCCTATTTCATTCAAAGGAACACAAAGTCATAAAGGCCATCAAGTATATTAATAAAAGGTACACTACACCACAGTCAATGATAACACAAAACAAGCTCACACAAGGAGGAGAAAAGAGGATTGTGTCCCAACCTTAACTTTTTCTTCTCTCTCTTTTGTGTGTTGGATTCTTTTTCCTCTACGCAACGAAAATAAGAAAAAGGGCATACTCCTTAACTAAGCAAGAGAAAGTGATGCCACTATGTGAAGGAATTGTAACTGCTCCAGCAGCTCTTCGGATTGGCCTGTGCCCCTTTGTTCCACTCTTGCAAACAACTCATTGCCAAGGTGGTCGCCGATGTGTGCATCCACGAGTACTCCGGCGACACTCCTACAGCTGTTGGCAAGGGCTCGACCCACTTCAGCTGCATCATCAGGTTGGTTCACTACAAGGGGGCTTCCTCCTTTGAAAATCTCAAGCTTGTTTATGGTGAATGAGCCAACATCTTCCACTACTTCTTTGAAGTCTTGTAAACTTGAGGCATACACAGGAATGTTGAAACTGTCACGTTTCTCACTAGTGATAAGACCCTACAAAAAATTAATAGCAGATAGTTTAATAATTAATCCATATATCGCAATTAATAGCTAGATTAATTACACAAAGGGCTAATTTTCACGAATGTTGGAACTGTTAGGTTTCTCTCACTAGTGATAAGACTCAACAAAAAATTAATAGCGGATAGTTTAATAATGAACCTATAGATCACAATTCAAAGGCATAAAGCACTGTCACATCCCGAAATTTTGGCTCACATGCAAAAATGTACTACACTAACTAGATCTGAACCTGGTTAATCATACTGCTTAATGTCCTATTTTTTCAACTAGATAGGCTATAATAATTGATGATCGGGATTAGCAAATGAGTTGTATCAGATATCGTCTAAATGCAAGGCCATCTATGATTGAGGGACAAGATCTTTTAGGTACGTACATGCACTGACTTTGCTCAAATGCAATTTGAAGTCTTTTTTCTTTATTTATTTTTTCCATCACCTTCTGGTTCTTATCTAAGATATGATTATACTTTTGTGTTAAAACAAGCCCTACGTATACCCAATTGATCCACGGCCAATAATAGCTATGATTTTGCCGACAGTAGTTGATACCTATGAACAAATGGAGGGGCTTGATCAATTTTGGGGAGAGTATCCAACGGCTAGAATCGGGCTAACTAAATCATAACCAGTGAAAATTCATAATAAGGTCTTGTGAAACCAATAAGACCTAATCATGCATACCTCTTTTATCTTTTTCTCAGCTTTTTGGTCTGCCAATTGAAGCTCAAAAATGTGACTTATCTCTATAGGCCTATATGGTATTATTATACATTGCACATTGCACTATGAATTTGTACTAGTCTCACCAGCATTATTATATGCAATGTTAACTTTGTGACAATACATTTTATATATTATGATTACCTCTTGGACAAGATCATCCCAAGCATCCTGAAAGTGGGTTCCAAAGAGATGGCCTGGGCCACTTTGGTCAGTGGGGTCCACTGAGGTCCTGCCCAAGCAGACAAGAAACATGGAGCCACCTTTCTTGAGCTCCATGGCTCTTGACCTGAGAAAGCTTGCCAAGTCTGTCTGGAACTGCTTCTTGTATGCAATGGCTGTGCTGTCATTTGCTCCATGAATACACACCCTCCCTTTGTTGTAGGCTGCTGATCTCTTGTCTAGCACACTCTCTGGTACCTGGGCCCCACGCAACACATAAAAGAATTATCAATGATAATCTACTCTAAATTAATCGGTCTAATCTATAGAAAGAGGAATTCAAACTTGAATATAAAAGGTGAATTCACTGTCCTAACAAATTGACCTAACTCAGCTTTGTAACATGTCCAAGTCAAAGATTTGAATTTTTACTAAACAACAAAATAACTATTGAAAATCCCGAGCATTTGCATAAAGTTGCATGCTCATAAGCCAGTTGCTTAAATTCTTCAAAACATTTGACCAGGCTCGCTCTGCTTTTGTTTGATCTTTTTGGTCTAACCGATTTGACTTTTAGTCTTTTTTTACCTTGAATGCAATCCGTTTTGGCTTTCAACTTTGCTAGTTGTTGAGTAGTGACGACAATTATGCCGTAGGTAGACTGCTGTAGACAAACTGAATGAAATGATTTAGAAGCTTTTGTTTCTAATTAAATACCATTAACCCATTAATTAATTCTAGCCTTTGTGACTTGATTAGGCAATCTAGCTAACCATACAATTATTAAGCTTGGGGTATAAAATAATTCCTAATTAATTTTAACTATAGGGTAGGCATAATTCCTAATTAATTTTAACTAGGGTAAGAATAATTACTAATTTTAACTAGGTTTACGATCAGTTCTTCCCAACCCTGAAGACCATAAATTAGGGGCATTAACTTTTTGACCTACTCAAAGCCAGCAATAAAAACAGATAAATGCTTAAAATATTTCAACGTATAGTTTTATTTTATTTTATTTTATTGTTATTTTAAACATCTCTTTTGCACAAGTGTGCACATGGCACAATATCCTTAGAAACAAACAAGTATTAATTAGTTTCACATATTTGTCATCACCAACCTAGAATTTTGTACGTACTATATTATACTATAAAAAATAAATTAAGTGTGACAAAATAAGATTATTAGTTAGCAAGTATCTATCACAACCAATAATAATGGGTTAATTACCTGCGAGAGCCAATGCAAGGAAAACGCAGAGTGGAAAAGGTCAATGGACCTCGACGGGAAGAGCCGCCTGTAGAAGGAGCCGGGGACGCCAGCAGCAAAGTAGGAGCGGTGGCTGTCGGCGGCGAGGGTCTCCTCCATGCTGCCGCCGTGGTTGGCCATAGGAGGGAGGAGCTGGAAGAGGGTATTGAAGTCGTTGCTAGGGAGATCAGAGAAAAAGGCTGAGAACTCAGGTGGGTCACATCCCAAGGCCTCATAGCGCTTGGCCATGTGTTTGATGATCACATCTATGATGTAGATGGTGTTGCTTCCACTTGAGCATCCAAGGTCCACAACCACAAAGGGGACTTGTGGAGAGCTCAGCTGCACATTGTCTAGGGTTTCTTTAAGCAGGTGAAGCATGGATCTTGCATGCATGGCCTGAAAAAAATTAAGGACAGAATTACTTGGGCAGATAAAGAAAATGATGAAAACACATTGAACAAATTTTGATTAGTGTTAATTAAATTAAGCAACTGGTTTAATTAAAGGACTAACCTGGGCTTGGGAATTGTTGGCATAGCTGGACTCTCCTTTGCCTCCTTTCATGCTAAATATCTTCTCGAGCTTTATACTTGAAACTACAACGTTGTCTCCCTTGGGAGCCATGAATTTGATCAATTTAGGAGAAATATTTGTAAAAAGATTAATACTGCGATGAGGGTGAAGGGTGAAGTTGGAAAATGGTGGGTATATATAGAGGGAGAGCATAGGGAGAAAGGAGAGAGAGAAAGAAGGGTGTTGTTATTTTTGTTTTTCTTTTCCGAAGAGTGTGAGAATAAATTATGATATAGTGCATTTTGGAGTGGCATGATGGCGAGCTAGCTCTTTAATTGTGTTCCCTAAAGAATTTTCCATGTGCACCAAGTTGGCCTTGATGTGACAATGCTCTTTAATTAGCCTTAAAAGTATGGGCCGTAGATATATTTGTCATTTTGTAAAAACTTGGATTTAGGCTATGGGGATCTACTCCAACGAAAAAGAGTTTTGATTTGCATACTAATAGTCTCAAATTCGAATTCAATAACACCACAGTAGCGTGTGTAAAAAACTCCGTTCTCTTTAATTTAGACTATATTTGTACTAAAAAAAACAGACTTGAATTTGGAATTTATTGGGATTTTACGGTTTTTGTTGTTGATATTATGAAGGTTTGAACGTCTAATTATTTATTATAATACTGAGGGGACATGTAGGCCGACCTCTACACATACCATCTACAATAGAGTATCCTAAATAAATAATATACCTCAAACCAAACTAATATAAATAAATCACACATAGAAAATAAATCTTTCCTAGACTCAACATGATATATTCAAAACTCAACAAATACTTTTAGTTATTAATTAAATCGAAGTGGTCCAAATTTAAGTTCAATAATTTTCTGCTTAACACATGTAACACACATTAAAAGTTGCATTATTTCTTGCCTCCAATATTTATTCCGATTTTCGTCGAATTCTAGTAGCTTGTTCTTGCTTCCATTCTGTTAAATAGCTCAAGTTCTATCAACAAAGTTGACAATGGTTTGCCAAATTGAACATTAAGAGATAAAAAAACCCATAACAAAACAAAACTTATAACTAATCTGACCCAAACAGGCTAAGCTACATGGAGAAGAGAAAGAAAGTAAACCTGGAATGTGGACTCGTTGCCTTCTTCCCTGCATCCAGCCAAGGTCTCAACCTTCATATGAGAAACAGCAACTTGGTATCCATTTGAAGCCATGGTTCTGGGGTAAGAAAAGAGGGTAAAATTGTTCAATGCTTATGGATGCAGATGCAGTGAGAGCTATTGTTTGTACATATTTATATATGCAAAATCAGTGGTCACAAATTTCTTGAATTTGGTAATATATAATAAGTGACGGTTATATATTAAATGCATTTTAAAATAAACTTCCAATTATGCCCTTACGTTACGTTAAATTAAAAAGAGTCAAAAACTGATACATTAAAGGTATAATGGCGGTTAGAAATAAATTTTTCTCCTTAAAAAAAAAACACATCTCTTCCTATTTCCCGGAGTAACTTCCTTCCCACACCGACATGCATAGCATGTGACCTTTGTCAAAGGAAGAATGGTAAGTTTAAGAATTTAATAACGTAAGAATAGATTTATTATTATTATTATTTTACCAAAATTAGAAAGAATAAGGGGAGATTTCTCACACACATACTGCTAAGGCGCCATGAGAGTTTGAAAATTAAGGCCAATTTTCATTCAACTAGACCTCGTTGATAATTTATTATTAATTTTTAATCACCCCCCTTGTCTCCCTACTTTTTCTATGTTTTTGTAACTTCTACTTTCCATCAACGCAACACATGTATAGCATATAGTATGCATGGAAATTTCTAGTTATAATAAAATCAAGATTTATAATTTAAGTGATTAAGAGTATGATCTATTTTATGTATATTATATTCCGAATAAGTGCCAGTTATATGTCTGTCATACTATATACCCTACGATTAAAAGGCAGTTATGTACCTTTTATATTGTATTATATTAATAATAGATTTACTAATTAATTAAAGGTAATACAGTAATTTAGGATTAGTTTTTAATCACCAATTTTTCTCTCCAACCGACACTTTTCTTTTAATTACTGTAACTGCTCCTACAATAACTTCCATCGACACATGTATAACATGCGTGGAAGTTTCTAATGGTATTATATAAAATGTATAGCTTGTTAACTTAGTCTTTCTCTAGCCAACGAGGTTTAGCCGGGTGCAAAAAGGTCTTGATTGTATGTGTGTGAGAAATCTCTCTCTTATGTAGTTTAGACTATCGCTTGTACTAAAAAAAAACTCATCTTTCTCTAGAAACTCTAAAGAACTCTCTTTAAAAAGTGAAAATAAACCTCAGGAACTTAGCTCTAGTCATCGTCTCCTTTGGGGGTGGTGGCCTCATTCCCCCACCCCTCTCTACCCTTCTCTCCCCTCTCCACCCCTCACCTTTTTTCCCCCATCTCCTCCTAGTTCATTCTTTCTCTCTTGGGGTTATTTACCAAATTTTTGGTATTCAGCAGTGTTTTTGAGAGAATAACGATAGAATTTTATTGATAGGAACACAACTAGTACAAAAAACTGGGCTATATAGTGCGGATTAGGTGAGTTTCTCTACACATACGAGCTCAGTCATAGGTCTAACTGAGTAGTCTTATCTTCTCAACCGCAAGCGAGAGAAGAAACCTTACCACAAGAGTGTTAAAAAAAGTAAGAACTGGTAAACATTATCTTTTTGCATGATAGTTTGTACCTAATTAGACCTCTACCTAATCCCACCAATCTTACACAACATGAACTAAAACCCCATGGCCATCTATATATGTGTGGATTTCAAAATATTTGAAATAGATACATAAATACATAGAGACCGACCATGCTGAAAAAGGAAACAATGAGTGCATATACTCCTACAAACGTTTTTATTATTACAAGAAATGTGTCTTGCATTTCTGCTATAACTTAATTAAGAGAGAATTATTGGCCAATAATCCTTCCTAAAAACGTATATATAAACTGATGAATAGAAGAAATTATGGATAGGATTACTCTAAGATCCAACTTTAAAAGAAATCTATTAAAAGCCAAATGATGACTAATAGTTCTCTTATTAATTAATTTAACCATCGCCCCATAATCAAGGTTCCCTTTTCGTCCCAAATTCAAGTTTGAAAAGTTTTAGAATTGTTTGACTTATTGTCTTTCTAACAACTCAATCCACTTTCCTAACCGAAAGGGCAAAGGGCTTCATTGGATTAGTTGGTTCTTTGGATGAGATAAGTTTTCATTAACGCAGTAAACAGTTCATTTATGTAATGAGTGAGTGCCACCATTGTCAACATTTCATTTACATGAAAACGTAATAGATTAGATGGTAAAAGAATGCCAACATCTTTCTCTTGTCAATTGGCAGATAATCTAACATTCAAATATTATAAATTAATAAATTAATAAATTGTTAAACTGTTAATCTTTCATGTTACGTTGTTAAATTGTTAAGGGTGTTGTTCGTAAATTAACTGAGTATACATCTTATGATCTAAGTACGCTATAATACTTAAATCAAAATGTAAAATTAACACCCTATTTAAGTACCAGAAATATCCCTCATACACCCTAATACACTCTATCACACAAAGAAAAATAAAAGGAAAAGCAATCCTTTACGTGTTAAAAGGAAATTCCCAAAACATATAAACAGTAGAAGAAATAAACAAAAAACTGAGGAGGAGATGAATTGTTACACAATTTCAAAGTCAAAATATTGAAAACCAAGTGTAAACACTCCAACTTTATTTGACTTTTGTCTTTACCCAAAAGGGATTGATGATGAATGTTCATCAAACCCAATTGAGCAAAGCTCATAATTTACGTCTTGTTCCGAAGACTCTTTTAACTCTTCTACCAGAAGACCCCAAAGAAAGGTTTTTGAGGAATTGTAAAGAAAAAAGAAGGGTATTGTTAAATGAATCTTAAAATTAATTGAGTAGAGTGTGCTTTTTAAAATTATATTTGTTTCACAATTCAGTATATCCTTTTTTATCATTTTATATTAGGGTATATTAGTAATTCAATAAATAGTTGGTAGTAGGATGTATTCAGTTAATTGGGTTCGTTTAATAGCACCCATTATTAAACTGTTAATTTGAATTATACATTCAAACATATTTTAAACAAGAATTGATCAACTACTCTTGTTTAAAATGGTCATTCTCCACTTGATCCATTATTTAAATTGACAATCTAATCAGTATATTTGACAGAAAACATTCTTTATAAAAAGAAAATTCGTTCCCAATATTTTTATTATTATAGGAAAACAGCCAATTAAACTTTAGTGTTTCTTGATTTGCAATATTCAAAATAGAGATCTCAGAGAGTGTTGAAGAGGCCAACAAAGTCTAGCCTAGTGAAAAATGTTCTTTACTTGCATACTAGAGGTTTCAGATTCAAACTGTAATGGCATCTTAGTTGTGTGAGAGAAAACCCCTCTACTTTAGTTTGACCATCGCTTGTACTTTAAAAAAAAAGGAGTGTTAAGAGAGAGAGAGAGAGAGAGAGGGATATTAGAGTTGAGTGAGCTATAACACTCTCAAAGGAAGTGGCAAAGGCTCAATTTTCACGAACTTGTAGTAAAAGTATACGACCCTAATGTTCTTTAAACAAAATATCTGAAGATCTGGAATCTTGTTCTTGCTTTTGCTCTATTTGTACTTTATTTTCACCCTCTTATGACATATGAGAGATATAAGTCATATGACCTTTTTGCAACTTCTCTCAAAGTTCTTCAATGCCCCGTGATGGTCGCCGGTTCACATGAAACAAGGCAGGGCCACTTTCTTCTTCTTCTTCTTCTTCTTCTTCTTCTTCTTCTCATCCATTACTTTTCCTTAACTTTTCAAATTAGCTATCCCTATAACATATATATATATATATATCACGAGTCAATTATCATCCTCAATTATAGCTAACAGGGTCATTTCATTTTGATACTCAACTATCAAAACGCAGCAATGTAATTCTTTTTATGGAATATGTAACAGAAGGTTAGAATTGTAGAAATTTATGGACGATGTTGCGACGTTTTGCTAGTCGGGTACGAAAATGAAATGGCCCCTATAGTTGAAAGGGCTAAAATGTAATTTGCTATGATATTATTATTATCTATAGGCATAATAATTCATGCAAAAGGTCCATATAGTGTGATTACGTAACTTTCTATTATAATAGTGGAGTGGATATGTGAAATAATCACTCTACTTTGAATTGGTCTTGGCCGCTGGATTGTGATGTGATGATGCCTTTTATATTAATAGGAGAAGTACTTCAATTGACTAAGAGTTTATTATGTTTTGGGGTTTCTTGAAGAAAATGATGGTAAAAGTTAAAATGTAGCTCAGTAACAAAGGTGGGATGGTAAAAAGAGAGAGATGATCCCTAGTTTTTTGTCACTTTTGTGCTGCATGTGTGTCATGAAATTTTGTCTGCCACTATGCCCCCTCCCTTTCTGTGTGCACTTCAGTTAGAAATCGCCATATACAAGATAAATAATAGAAGAGGAAGAACTATCATAACAAGTAGACACCAGTGTGATTTTATATGCATGACACCGCTTGCATAAATATTTTCATGACAAAATGCTACCTATCTTCCCTCTCTTCTTGCCCTTTCTTTCTTCACCCTGTTGACTGTATGTCAAGTGTATTTCACTCACACATAAATTTATGTATTTAAAGTGTTCAAGAACTTTTTTTATTCTTTTTATTATTAAGTAAATGCGTATGAGAAATGCTATAAGAGGAAAGCAAGAGGAGAATGTAGCTAGCATTCCTGTATTTTTATTGCACACGGGTTCTTAGCTTCTTAAAGGCAGACTAAAATAGAGTAGCACTAGAAAATGCTTATCCATTTATAACAATCCTTATCGGAGAAGCATAATTTTGTAACACATTGGAGGAACAGCCTTCCCAAAATCATTCAAACCAAGTCATAGTTTGATATAAATTTATGAGGCAAAATCGACATGGGGTTGGGTTATGTGAGGACAAAGTAAGCCTATGTGGTATAGATATATTCATCAAAGCATTTCCTAGGTTTTAGCCTCTGAATATTACGTTTTTGTTTCTTTAATAGTTCTGGTTCCCCAAATATAGAGTAGGACTTTTGCACTGCTTGATTGGCTTACAAGGTTGAGTTTGCACATCCCCATACACACTGTTTTTCATCTGAGTGAGTGTTGATGACAATAGGACATGTATTCTGAGGTGCTGCACTGTGTTTTGTGCTGTGAGAGAGAGAGAGAGAGAGAGAGAGAGAGAGAGAGAGAAGTATAGGCATTAATATATTTGGGGTCGATGGATCTGAATGGATGTAATAGAAAGCAACCATAATAAAAGGGAGTAGGTCCTCTAGCTAGCTAAAGCTTGATTCAACGGTATTGGGAATTGAAGGCCTGCATGTAATATTTTGATCCGGATCACCAGCATCAAGCAAATAATTTTTGTTTAGTGGTCAAGATTTTAATTTGTTACGCTACATGGTTAGGAACTATGAGGCTCTGATCTCATTTTAAAAATAAATAAAAAAAATAAAAAAAAAATAAAAAATAAAAAAAAAAAAGACTATGAGGCTCTGATGGTTTTTGAAATTATTTTATATAATCAGAAAATCAAATGTTTGACTTAATCTAATTCTAACTCATTTTGTTACTCATCTTCGTTAGTCGAACTAAACCTAAGGGATTGTGGCTTAGTTAATTTTGTTGGGATTGTGTGGCTCGATATAGGTCATAGATCGGGATGTGCATAATCCATGTTTAACTAGAGAGGATTAAGATGATTTTACCTCCAAGAATTCAAGGGACATTTTTTCTTTGCAGAGGCTGTTGACTATGTTGAAATGGTTGATAGCGGAAAAGTTCGTGCAGAAGTGAAAGTAATTCTGGGAATGTACGTAGAGAAAAGGGTGAGCTTTATGCTACCAGAAGATATGCTAATATATTCATATTCTGTTCACGAGATCAAGGTGATTCTCTTTCAATTAGCAAGGCAGCCTGTTGAATTAAAACCCAATAATTAAAAACTTTAGAAATTTGAAACTGAAATAACTACCATTGTCCACTAATAACCTAGCACCTCATATTAAAATATAAAAAGATTTTCGTAGAAATGTCACCTGAACTATACCTCAGTTTCAATTTGTCACTTTAAAGAAAAATTGAAGGGAAATGTCACTTAATTTTTCAAAATCCATGATTTGTCATCTGATTTCAACACTATCCAATTTTCCATCCATTGTAAAGAATATTTTAAAAAGAAAAAAATCATTATAAAAAATTATATATCTTTCAAAAATTAACCATTAAAAATCAAAAGGTCTTTCCTACCAACTAGAGGTGTCAAACGGGACGGGCCGGCCCAGCACGGCACGAGCCCAGCCCATTTAAATGAGGCACGGCACGGCACGAGCACGAATATTAATGG